ACACTGGCCAATATACAAAAAGCCCGTAGCCAGTTCACAAACGTTTTGGGGATCTTCCTATACCTACGTTTTTTCTCTTCTTCCTCCTTCATCGCATCCTTTTTGTCCTCCTCTTTCAGGTCAAGAAACTCCTACAGAGGGAGAAGGGAAAAAACTTCCACGAACTCACCTTTCCAAATCTTGTCCTTCATCTCAGCCTTTAAATGACAGCCTAAGGGGCCCGCGAAAGAAACGTGCACATTTTGCCGCGCCGCGTCAGTAATCTCGCCGCATAAGTCCGTCCTTTCGCCCGGCCCCCCTACCAAACCAGACGCGGCTAACCCGGGGGCACCACTCACCGCCCCAATTGCCTGTCCCGCGGAGACAAGACCCGCCACCGGACCCCACACCCTCGAAAATTGCGGTGAAGCCAACTCCCTACTGGCCCAAGAATCTAACAATGACTTTAAACAGCTTAACAGTGATTCTGAGTGTGGTGTACCAGATGACTCACCGCCAGAGCCCCCGGCCGCGGAGGGCTGCGGGGTCGCTTTCCTTCCATCCGCCGCACACGGCTCCGGAGTGTCCAAGAGACGCCGACTCCTTAATGCCTGATCCCGCCTCGGGACCAATGGTGTAACGCTCCGCGACCTGTAAGTCTGTTCGTGCGTCCACCTACCCGTCCTTCCTCCTTACGCTCCCTTCCATCATTCCTACGCCTGCCCCGCTTAGTAGCCTGGCCCTCCTGGCCGTAAGTGCCATACCACTGTCCTTGGGAGCTCCCGTCTGAGGACCCAGAAGTGCTGCGCCGTTCCTTCCTCCTCCTGTCCCTACAGGCTGACCTCCGCCTACTGCACCTATCAGCCAACGGGCTCCTCTCCCTGGCGCTCCATGTCCCTTCCTGCCTGGCGCTATCCCCGCGCCGTTCCCTGCTGACTACAGGCCTGGGGTCGTTTTTAACGCCTTGCCGCCCTTGGGAGGTGCACCTGTGGTCCTCCCGTACACTCCTAACCCCGTCTTCCGAATCCACATCAGACCCTTGTGACAGGTCCCCCTGTGACGCCACCCTGTCTGAAGGGGAGTCCCTGCGCTGTCCCTGGCAGCCAGAGTCCCCCTCCGCTGCCGCCCTGGCCTGCTTCTGTCGTCCCAGCTGACCCGGCTGACCCCCTGCCATCATGCCTGGCCCTAACCCCGGCTGTTCCCACTGAGCCCTTACTGCTAGGAGCCCCCTCTGCCCCCAGGGGAGCTGTCTGCCCGCCATCCATATCTTCTTGCCTGCCCCCTTGCCGCCCGGTTGTTACACCGGCGGCAGACTCACCGGGATGCCCCTGGGTTCCGTCCTCTCCTCCACAGGCATCTGCCATCCCGGCCATCCTGGAGGCCGCCGCCAATTTTGCCACCCTGCCGTTCGCCGTCCGGCGAGCGGCGCTCCGCGTGGTAGGCCACAAAGCGGCGACCGGCCTGACTGCCGTCCTTGCCCGACCGGCACCGCGTCGAACAGACGGTGCCGGCGGCGTTTTTTCTGCCTCCTCCCGGCCGGCATCCATAGCCAGGGCTCCGCCCGCATCCGCCGGGTGGCTCAGTCGCCGACGTGCTGCGGGCATCACGCCCGGACTCAGCCGCTGGGGCGGTCTCGCCCTCCTCACCGGACGCCGCTCCGCTGCCGCAGGGGGGTTATCACCGGTCCCAGGATCCCCCAGCTGCCGTTGAAGCCAGGCCATCCCCTTGTCTCGCACAGCCGCTCTCACTCCGTCCAGGATCTCGTCCAGCGAAGCCATCTGCAAAAGAAAAGAAAAAGAAACCACACAGACCTGCCAAAAAACAATTAACAGGTAAGTGCAGATTCTGATTAAAATGGCCACTTGCTAAAATGGCCGCTTAATATACTCCCTCTTTCTCCACCCCTTATTACAACCCATTACTAATTACCCACCCCTAAATCTTTAACTCCACCTGCCTACTCCTTGGCTCTGTCAAGGCCCATTCCCCTGACTGCGCTGATCCATGGGCTTCATGACTGCAGGATCCAATCCAATGCTCCTTATACAGGTGAATTGGAGACCAAATGAGCATGTACACACATTCAAACTTTCTCATAGGAAAGCATTCAGTCAATCCTTCCATACAGGGTTTCCACATCACATGATTGAGTCACATGATCAGTGGACTTAATCATGCAATGTAAACATTGCAGTTTCTAAAAAAACTACATTTTACATTACAGGGTTAAAAGGACAGGGACATTAAGATGACGTGGTTTGGGTGACTATAGGAGCACGTTAAGCACCATAAGCACTACAGTTCCTTATTATTAGGGTTATTATGCAAAGTTCATTTGAGTGCTGCCTCTCCAGTTAATGTCAAACTCTTTCTCAGTAGTTTGTTTAAACAAAAAAAATGGCTCTACTGGTGCCTAAAGCGGTTTCTTTTACTGCAGTACAGCTCATTGTAAATTGACATTTGGTGTCAATGACAGGGTGAGAGCTGAGCTAAGATGCACACAGCTCGCATAGTTTACCACTGCCATCCATGGTCGGATAGGTTGATGTGTTCATTATGGTATTAGCCAAGTTCCATGAAAGGGGCTGGGCTTTGGGCCACAGGAGGCTGTCAGTTTTTGTCAAACAGTTCAAAAACTATTAAACACATCCTGGGGGGACAGTTCACAAAGAGCTGTAGCTATCTGGTGCTTAGAATGCCCTCTCAATCAAACAATGCAATAAATGCCATATGTGGTATATTTACCATCATAGGCGTGCGCAGCCTATTGCATTAGGGTGTACACCCTAAAGCACAAACACACGCCGCGTGTATATGTATGTATGTATATATATATATATATATATATATACACAAACACACACTGCTGTGTGAGGTTGGTGTGAGGGTGCTGTGTGTGTGTAAGGGTTCTGTGTGTGAGGGTGCTGTTAGTGTGATGTGTGTGTGAGGGTGCTGGTAGTGTGCTATGTGGGTGAGGGTGTTTGTGCGTGTTTGTGAGGGTGCTGTTTGTGTGTGAGGGTGCTGTTAGTGTACTGTGTGTGTGAGGGTGATGTGTGTGTGTGTGTGGGTGCTGTTTGTGTGTGTGTTTGTGAGAGTGCTGCCAGTGTACTGTGTGTGTGAGGGTGCTGTTAGTGTACTGTGAGGGTGCTCTGTGTGTGTGTGAGAGGGTGCTGTTTGTGTGCTGTATGTGTGTGTGCTGTATGTTTGGGTGATTGGGTGTATTGTGTCGGGGCCGTTTAGTAAATATCCCCCCTCCCTTCTTACCTTATGTAGGGAGGGGGGACCATGCTGCTGCCATCCCTGGTGGTCCAGTGGAGAGTGAAATCTAGCCTGTGGGGCTAGAGTTCACTCTCGCGAGATCTGAGCATTGCCACGGCAACACTCAGATCTCGCGAGAGGAACCCAGTGGAGCTCCTGCCTCCCTCCATGCTGCTGTGAGCGGGTGAGGTAGATCTTTGATCTCCCCTGTGGCCCATGGAGGCTTAGAGCAGAGCCGGCGCTCAGATAGCACCAGCTCTCCATGAGCCAACATGCCGGTCTCAATCCATAGGCGTGCCGCGGGGATTAGGGTGTCCCCAGGCACACCCGGCACACCCCGTGCGCACGCCTATGTTTACCATTTGTAGAGGGAGATGTAACATTGCAAAACAGGGACTATTATGGGTAAAAGCTGCTATATGTTGATATGTTGTATTGGTTTTCATGGTGATTGCTCCTTATTGATTTTTACCTTCAATAAATCTCTTTCATTGAATAGGAAATGTCACATTATGTGCTGGGCCTAACAAGGGGTCACATTTTAGATCCAGGAAGGCTGTACTGCTTGTTTCATTGTGTTATACACTGGCACAGATATTCACTGATGTGAACTTTGAATGTTATGCCAAAATAGCCAAAATGGGAAAAGTCAGCTATGCTTTCATATCTTTTAAATTCATGTTGAATTCTCACTTTAGTAAATAGTCCTGTTTGTAAATCACTGCTTAAGACAACGCCGACAGGGCTATTCACTAATATGAGAATTCAAAGTGAGTAGCTTGAGTAGCATAGCTGACTTCCAGTTTGGCTATTTTGACCTTAAATTGACCTTCACTTTGGATTCACCTTGAATTCTCATATAAGTTAATATCCCTGTAATTGTTGACTCCCATGTATTCCATTCAGGAAACTATAAGTAGTTATGCTTATTTATATTAAAATTAATTCTGTGAATTGTCATGTATTTATAGTAATAAATTCTGTGAATTGTCATTATTAATAGTAATGATATTTAAATTTCTGCTGTGCACAAATTGAAATAAATATTGCTTATATTAAGAGGTTTTTTTTCCGTTAATTTGTGATGAATTTAAAACTAAATGTCAAATTTCAGGCCACAATGCTCAGATGAAAAAAGAAAATCTTCAACTCATCTAGCCATCGATTGGCTATTTTGAAAATTGTTTTCTCATTCACTGTTTAGCAAATAAATTCCATTGTGCTGGTGGATCAAACATACAAGCCTAATCCTGGAGATGTCATTTTAGCTTGTTGTTGGGGGTCAGTCGGATATATTGTGTGTTGGTCACAATTTTTAAAATCTGCCTGTCTTATTTGATGCTACGTTTTGCAAGCAGTGCGTCGGCTGTGCATGCAGATGAGGTCAGTATTAACCATTTGAGTATCCATTGAGAATGATTAGGATTTCAAAGCACTCACTAGACTGAACCCTCAAAGGGTTAATGGCATTGGTTGCTGCAGGGCAATATTGAAATAAAATAGTACAGCGATGTGTATGTCTGTGTGTGCCTTCTGTTTTACTTGGCTGCAGCCTCTAATAGACTAATTCAGACAAAAAAGGCGACTCCGTCTGAATATATAATGTGTTTGGATATTGATGACGGGGAGGAATAGGGAGTTGCAGTGACTGTAGCCATTGCATGCAACGGCTGAGACATCAGAAAAAAAGAGGGAGGGGAGAGCAGGAGAGGCTACCAAGACAAAGAAAGGGTACTGAACAGGAATACGTGAGTAAGAATGTTAAATAATACAGCCATCACTCAATCAATAGCAGAGGACATCTATCACATGGCGGAAGTGAGAGAAAGACAATATTGCATGAATTACATGGGGTCAAATATTATTAATAATATATATGTATATTGGAAACTGTAAATGAATGTCAAGTATACATGCAAAAAGTAGAATGAAAAAAGGCTGAATGCTTCTTGCTTGCATGCACATACATAATTACAAAAAGTAGGGAATGGTAGAAAGAAGTTGAAGTGGAAGAAAGTTCAAGGTCAAAGAGCCACTTGGATGGAAAAAAAAAATATGTATTGCAAATAGTGGCTGGAGTGTGTGATGAATTTATGAATGTATAACGACTTGTAGCGGATGATGAAAAACAGAACCATTTCAGCTGACACAATGGTCACATTAACCAGTTGCCTGTCAATCAGACATATTAACTTAAAAGCCTAAGACAATGACTTTTATCCATACTTTGGTGTTTGGCACAAAGACAGATGCATCTTTTCTCTTTAGGGTCAGTACTTGGTAATAGAAGGAAAGAGACACAGTGACAGTAGGCTGTGCTGCTATTGGGAGGGGCTGAAAGGTCCCTTATTCGTCAGGTTGACAGTACTGCAGAAGCACACTTCACCCCATGCTAAATGATCAGAATACTGAGCAGCATGCAGCAAATGAGAGCAGAATGAGGAAAGTCAGTACACAGAGACAAGGCTGGTTAAGCAGTATACAAAAGAGCAGATTAACTGAGATACTGTACACAGATAGAAGGCTGGCAGTCAGAGCCGCCACCAAAATTTTGGGACCCCTGACAAAGCACTAGGTCTGGGTTCCCCCCGCCCCCGCCCACCCACCCACCGCCAGGCCCGCCCACAGGACTCCTACCTAGTCCGCTGCAAATGATGCAGGACTGAATGTGGTTTGTATAGTGGAAGTGAATTAGAATGTGTGTAATGGATGTAGTGTCTGTGTGTATTAGATACTGTTTGTGCAGTGAATGCAGAGTGTGTGTTAGTGTAGTGAATGCAGAGTGTGTGTGTCAGTGTAGTGAATGCAGAGTGTGTGTTATTGTAGTGAATGCAGAGTATGTTAGTGTAGTGAATGCAGTGTGTGTGTTAGTGTAGTGAATGTAGTGTGTGTGTGTGTGTGTTAGTGTAGTGAATGCCGAGTGTGTATGTGTGTTAGTGTAGTGAATGTAGTGTGTGTGTGTTAGTGTAGTGAATGCAGAGTGTGTGTGTGTTAGTGTAGTGAATGCAGTGTGTGTGTGTTAGTGTGTGTTAGTGTAGTGAATGCAGTGTGTGTTAGTGTAGACTATGCAGTGTGTGTGTGTGCGTGTGTGTTAGTGTAATGAATGCAGTGTGTGTGTGTGTGTGTTAGTGTAGTGAATGCAGTGTGTGTTAGTGTAGTGTAGTGTATGCAGAGTGTGTGTGTGTTAGTGTAGTGTATGCATGTAGTGTAAATGGAGCATTCCAAAAATGTTATTCCCCCCTCCCTGGTTCTTACCTGGGGGGGGAGATTCCATGATTCCTGGTGGTCTGGTGGCATTGTGGGGCCCCCTGGCTCCCTGTACTTGCAGAGGGGGCCCAGCGGACTGCAAGTGTACTTACAAGCACTTCCCTCTCTCTAACTCCCGCGAGACCCCCGGCATGTTGCCATGGTAACCCGTGGCAATGCCCTGACAGTACACAAAGAGCATTGTGCAGAGAGGGAATGCTTTGGAAAATAAGTAGACGGAGAGAAGACTGAGAGAGAATCAATGTCCACAGAGAACAACTTTCACTTGAACAAAATACACCTGTCCCTGTATATGTACCTCTGGCATAAGTCAGAACTTAAAGATAAAGCACCACACTTAAAGCAGCAGTAGTTTAGTATCCAACAAGTCAAAATACATAGTAAAAATGTCATCTGCGCTCTGGTCTAAATCCCTATGTACATTTAAACAAAATGGACTTCTACACATACAATATACTTTGCTGGTATTAGACAAAGTCAAAACATCTCTAACGAGACATAAATGGATGTTTTATAAACCCCTACATACTTATTAACCCTAAATAGGGCTATAACATACAAATCACCTTGCCGGTATCAGCTAAAAGGCAAGTTTCTCTGTTGACACAGGAAGGGGTGCTACCCCTACATTCTTATAAACTCTTAATAAGACAAACATAAGGTGGCTGGCAGCAATGTAACATAGCTGTGGGATATAAACATCATATACAAACACAAAGAGAAAACACCACGCTCACAGTATCCAACAGATTAAAATACAAAGTAAAAACAAAAAGAACGTTACCTCTCATGTCGCAAAGTGTATTGTATGTGTAGAAGCCCTATAAAGGGTTAAACGTGAAAGGATTTATAAAATACCCCTTCCTGTCTCATTGGAGATTCTTGGCTGATATCAGCATATCTAATGGCTAGTGTAGGACTCACCTTTTAGGGCTTGCCTTGACATGGCAGGTGAGCTTATATTCAAATTGCCATTGGACTAAAAGGTCTCCATTTTGTTTAAATGTACATAGGGATTTAGGCCAGAGCACAGGTAACGTTCTCTTTGTTTATAAGTCAGAAATTATTTTGATAATGGCTCCTGAGGATTGCTTGTGTTGTGTTTCTGCTTTCAACACAATTACAACTTCTTTATAACTAGTACAAGCAAAGAATAATAACAAATAAAAATAAATAACTATATATAAATATGTGTGTGTGTATATATATATATATATATATATATATATATATATCCTGGCCATATCCATGGCACCACAACAATGGGTAGCTCCTTCCTATCCCTAATTAGACAAGAACCTAATTCAAACAGAAGGTATATGTAACCCCTCCCACCCTCAGTCTTTTTGTTCCTGTCCTATCCTTAAGACAGACTTAGTAATTTCAGGACTAAAAACTTTTTCTTTTATGGCTTACCTGTGGATTGGTTCCTCTGGCCCCTTGGAAGTTCAGCCTCTCTCCCTTGGGAAGTCTATAGTACACGGCCCTGCGCAAAGGTGACCCCCTGGAGAAACCCCTTTAGTGACCGGGGGTTCTAACTAGCTGTGACCTGAAGGGTAGATGACCCAAGGGGTAGCAAGATCATGCCATCACCATAATTCCAGCAGAGACACAAGGGGTAGCAGGCTGGGCATGCACAAACAGAGCATATGGATTTACTTGCTGTGACCCGAAGGGTAGCAAGATTATGCCATCATCCTGTCTCCTGCAGTGACCAAGGGGTAGCAGGCCGGACATGCACATACAGAGCATATGGATTGCAAGCATTAATCTAAAAAGTGACTAACATTCCATCGCTGAAAGAGTTAATGTGAGACTGACTAGCATAACAAACAACTCTATCTTGTACTTTCTCATGTCTTTACTTGCTGTGACCCTAGGGGTAGAACGATTATACTATCAGCCTATTTCCTGCAGTGACCAAGGGGTAACAGGCTGTACATGCACATTCAGAGCATATGTATGGATATAACCCCTTCTACCCTTCATCAATTTCATCTGAACGGTAAGAGATTCCTGCTAATTTTAATTTCAATCAAACTTATTCCTAGGCTTCTGTTATGTATTTTAATACTGTCGCTGGATTTACTTAATACTAGGCCTCTGTTATGCCTTTTAATGCAGCCGCTGGATTCTCTTATAAATAGGCCTCTGCTATGTATTTTTATACAGCCACTGGATTATGCTATATCTTTTAATACAGCTGCTGGATTTACTTATTCCTAGGCAACTGTTATGCCTTTTAATGCAGCCACTGGATTCTCTTATAACTAGGCCTCTGTTATGCCTTTTAATACAGCCACTGGATTCACTTAATACTAGGCCTCTGTTATGCCTTTTAATACAGCCGCTGGATTCTCTTATAACTAGGCTTCTGTGTCTTTTAATACAGCCACTGGGTTCACTTATTCCTAGGTCTTTGTTATGTCTCTTAATATAGCAGCTGGATTTTCTTATTCCTAGGCCTCTGTTATGCCTTTTATTACTAGGCTTCTGTGTCTTTTTTATTTAGCCCTGGAGCCACTTATTCCTAGGCCTCTGTTATGCTTTTCAATGCCTTTTTATGCCTTTTATTACTAGGCTTCTGTGTCTTTTAATACAGCCACTGGCAGGGCCGGACTGGCCCACCGGGATACCGGGAAATTTCCCGGTGGGCCGTCGGCACCTGGGGCCGGGCAGGCAGCTGGCTCTTCTTGCGGCCGCCAAAAGAGCTCCCTCTGGCTGTTCTGTCTCTGCTCCCCCATCCTCGCGCGCTAGAAAGAGAACGGGGCCGGAATATGACGTCATATTCCAGCCCTGTCTCATTAAGCTGCGCTGGGGGAGCAGAGACAGAACAGCCAGCTCCCCATGCGGCCTCCAGCACACAGGTAGAAATTATGTGTGTGTCTCTGTCTGTCATGGTGTGTGTGTGTCTGTGTCATTGTTTGTGTGTGTGTGTGTCTGTGTCATTGTTTGTGTGTGTGTCTGTCTGTGTCATTGTTTGTGTGTGTGTCTGTCTGTGTCACGGTGTGTCTATGTTTCTGTCTGTGTCACGGTCTGTCTGTGTCACGGTGTGTGTCTGTCAGGGTATGTGTGTGTGTGTGTGTATGTGTGTTGTTGCTCACCTTTTTTTCCCCCCACGTCGTGCTCGTCTCCCCTTGACTGGCCCTGCCTCTATGGCTGAGATCATCAAACTTGATGATCTCAGCCAATCCACTCTGACACAGGAAACACTTCTAGTGACCATCTGAGTGTCTGTCACTACGACGCAATGTAAACACTGCCTTTTCTCTAAAAAGTCAGTGTTTACATTGAAAGCCTGCAGGGACAGGCTATAGACACCAGAACCACTACATTAAGCTGTGTGTGTGTGCGCGTCTGCTAGTGAGTGGGCTTGCTTGTGTGTGTGTGCCTGCTACTGAGTGAGCTTGTGTTTTTATATCAATGACCTTATGTATATCAGTAAGATTGTTTGTCTATGAGGCTGTGTATCAATCAGCTTGTGTCAGTGAGATTGTCTGTGTCTGCATGTGAGTATGCTTACTGTATAATTAAAATTTTTACTCTGAAAGGACCGATATTTTATATTGGAAAAAGCAATATATACATATATTATGTATCTTGGTACAATTAATTAATTCAGATAATCTCTATAACTCTTTACTTGTAAATCGTATGTATATAGTAATAATCACTCTGCTTCGGTCCCATCTCTTTAGCTATATATGGGTTCTGTAAGATCCAGTCACCCCTCGGTCGACAAGCCAGCTCATCTCACTTCATTCATGCACTTCACTATACACCTCTCTGATAATGATATAGCCGGCGATACTATTAATGGGGATTAATATCTTGGTACCCAGTGAATAATAAGCCTCCATTACTTGTTTTTAGATCATATTTGCACTTTATAAATGGCACGGTTTCTAATATATTGTATATTTATACCTGTAGCCTAGTAACTGGGCTACATGTCATTACGCAATTCACGCACTTTTCGGTGATCACATGTCCCGCCTAACACACTTCCGGGTTCGAGGGAGGGCACTACACACACCTGATTTGGTAAGTGTTATCATTTATTTTGTATATAATGGCTCACTTTGCACTGTTTTTGTGACCTTGAGAAAGACCCTGAAGGGTCGAAACGTTGGGACAATTGGATTATATTGAGTGAATAAACGATACTTGTTTTTGCAAAGACCTGTGGGTGCACCTCTCTTAATGGATATATACAGGTAGCATGCTGGTAGCACCGAGGCAATATATATTTAAGGAAGAGTGCCGAGGACAACTGTGTGTGTGTGTGTGTGTGTGTGTGTGTGTGTATATATATATATATATAGATATATATATATATATATCTATATATATATATCAATCATCTAGGGTGGCAAGACATAGCCTTACATATTACTATATGGCGCAATGACTTATGGGGCTGGCATAGATTTTTTTTTTTAGAGCTGCTTTGGAATCCCCAGTCCGGCCCTGGCCACTGGGTTCACTTATTCCTGTGCCTTTGTTATGCCTCCTAATATAGCAGTTGGATTTTCTTATTCCTGGGCCTATATGGCTTTTAATACAGCCACTGGTTTAACTTTTTCCTAGGCCTCGATTGTGCCTTTCAATAAAGCCATTGGATTATCTTATCCCTGGGTCTCTGTTATGCCTTTTGTATAGCTGCTGGGTTTACCCGAGTCTGGTGAGATAGCTCAGTGAGCTAATGCATCATTAGAAACTGTTGATCTATTGAGGTTGCCGGTTCAATTCGCAACTGAGATAGATTACATAAGTAATTTATTTGGGTAACCAGAGAATATCTGACTGTAACTTTCTTAGCTAAACATCACTTATTCTCTTTGCTATCCGCCACTTTTATTACAATATTCTATGCCTCAATATTTGGTTTTAGGTATTAATGGCTATTTGCTGCTTTATTAACTTATTTCTATCCCTCTACTTGGCAATGGACATTCTCGGCTATTCGCCGCTCTGTTTTTCTATCCCAGCCTTTTATTTTTATCTAATGGCTCTTCGACGCTTTGTTTTCTGCTCTAGGGTTGGTTTAGCGGTGTTAAAATGTATCTATCAATCTCTGCTCTTTCAGTAGAGATTTCCTTTGCTAAGGATAAAATAGGAATCCTATGCAGTTATGGATTCAGATCCCTCTTCTCCCAGAAAATAGGTCATAGGAGACATAGGTAAGCCATTCTAATTGTTTCTGTGGTTACCAAACAAAAGAGTGCCTATAAATAATTAGAATTCCCTACGAAGATCGCTCTGTGGGAAGAAAATCATCCAGATCATACAAGGGAAGTCACCCTAAAGGATACTTTGTGAGGCATATGAAAAGTGAGCCTTGTAAAAGTAAAGTCTCTGTGCAGACTGTCTGAAAGCAGCTACAGGCCAATCTGCCCCTGTGCCGTATATTATGAAATATCAAACAGGAGATATCTAAAGACATCATAGAAGCTGTTAAAGCGCCTTTTCTCTGGACAATTCCCAGAATGTATACTTTGAGGAATTCTTGGAGATGGATACATTCAGAGATATATCATCTTTGGATGAGGATATTCAGCCTATTTCAGTGCCTCCAGAACCCGCTTAAGTGGACCAAATGATTTCCAGAGTCCGTAGGTCCTTATTTCTGAAAGAATCTTCTAAGGTCGAGCCTTCTACCTCTAGCCTTTATTTTAGATGTCAGAAAGAACAGAGCATCTTTTCAAGTCCCTAGTACCATTTAAGATCCTTAAATTGGAGGAATGGTTCTACACTGAAGATTTCAACACAAGGGAGTATCTCGTGAATTTATCCATTGGGATATCAGATGTTTGTACCTCGGACTCTGCTCCTAAGTGGACGATGAAGTACTTAGACTGGCTAAATGTTCATCTCTGCGCGTTCAACAATACGGGATCTCTCTGAGACACCATGGAGTATAGATGGTCTTGATCCTCTCTAATAACCTATGTAGCAGCTGGCACATGCTTTCATCCTGCTGCAAAATCTTACCTCAATCTATAAGGATCTAAGATTGGTATGGATAGATAATCTTATTTTTGACTCTTGACATTACAAGTCATTAAGTCAGAAATAGTCTCCAGCTAAAAAGCTTCCATAGGTTGTGTTATACCAGAAATATGACTCTTTTTCTACTCGTCGGGCTCTTTGGTTCAGGACCTGGTTCGTGTATGCATCCTCCGAGATGAATGGATTAAGAGAATCACAGAGGAAAGTTTCTCTACTGCAAGACCTAAGCTTCAGGAGACCATTTGGATCCAAAGCCTCTCATTCCCTTTCTTCCAGGACCCAGGTATTTCACACCTGGAAGAGAGTATTTTAGATCTCAACCTTGAGAAGTGGTTATTCTTCTACCAGAAGAAGAGAAGAGGTAAAAAAGAGATGCATTGTAAATTTCAAAAGCCACTAGAACACAAAGACTCTGTTCCTAACAGGCGGATGGAGATCCATTCTAGATCTACATAAGTTTACAAGATTCTTGATCATTCTTCATCATAAAGGCAGCATTCCTAGTGCATTTGATGATTTCTACACATTTGCAGGATGTTTATTCCCATGTACCCATTGTTCCACATAACCAGAGGTTTCTCAGATTGCAGTGGAAGAACACTTTCATTTTTACATCTTCATGGCGAAAGATAAATGTCAGCTGAAATCACCTTGATCTGTCCCAGTCCAGGGTATAGCTGGGAACTCGGTTTGACACAGTCCAAGGTACGGTACAGCGCTCTTCAGAAAGTGCAGTACGACTTATCAAGTAAGGATGTTGACTGTCATATTACCCCAGCAGGGGAAGTTTTGCTCCCGGTCCTCCACCATAGATCTAAGTGGACAATGATGGCACAAGGGAAGATGTTAACTTTCCTATAGAAATTCATTGGACAGTGGAAACTATCAATACCATCCACTGGGGTTGAGGAACTTTCCTCCAAAATCGAATGTTATGAAAGGGAAATTCTTAAAGGGACACTCTAGTCACCTGAACAACTTTAGCTTAATGAAGCAGTTTTGGTGTATAGAACATGCCCCTGCAGCCTCACTGCTCAATCCTCTGCCATTTAGGAGTTAAATCCCTTTGTTTATGAACCCTAGTCACACCTCCCTGCATTTGACTTGCACAGTCTTCCATAAACACTTCCTGTAAAGAGAGCCCTATTTATTGCAAGTTCTGTTTAATTAAGATTTTCTTATATCCCTGCTATGTTAACAGCTTGCTAGACCCTGCAAGAGCCTCCTGTATGTGATTAAAGTTAAATTTAGAGCGTGAGATACAATTATTTAAGGTAAATTACATCTGTTTGAAAGTGAAACCAGTTTTTTTTTCATGCAGGCTCTGTCAATCATAGCCAGGGGAGGTGTGGCTAGGGCTGCATAAACAGAAACAAACTGATTTAACTCCTAAATGACAGTGAATTGAGCAGTGAAATTGCAGGGGAATGATCTATACACTAAAACTGCTTTATTTAGCTAAAGTAATTTAGGTGACTATAGTGTTCCTTTTACATCCAATACCTCTCTTCTGCATAGGTTGCATCAACATGGTTTTCACTTCTTTGTATCTTCTTCAGGACCTCCATGGGATCTCCCAAAAGAGTTCTTCCCTCTACCACCTGGTCCAGTGCTCTCTCCTCTCCTCGGAAGGTTTTGATATTGAAAGAAAGGCTTAAATACAAGGGTTTTTCAGGTACAGCAATTAATATCCTTTTGAAGGCCAGGGAAAATGTATATCCTCGGCAACCTTTACAGAGTTGGGATGCCTTTTTTCCTGGTCTATTTCTAATTAGATAATCATTCAAATTTCTTCTACCAAGGAGGTTCTAAGTTCTTCAATCCATGTCTCATCTAGGACTTAGCCACATCACCTCAGAGGTACGTGTGTTAGCACTCTCTGATCTCTCTTTTTTCATGAAGAGGCTTTGATATGGAGATATCTAAATATCTGTTGGCTGTATTTAAATGATCCCTCAGTTAACCATTGTTCCTGTTGACTTCTCACCCCTTTTAACCATGAGACTCTATCTCTCCACATCTGCTTAATATTAAGTTGGCTCTATCGGTGACATTAGCATTGGGCAGAAGGATATCAGATCTTCAAGCACTATTTGGCGTAAAACACTTTACTGTCTTTCACAATATAGAATAATCCTTAATCTGTTACTGAATTTAGTTATGAAGTGGCTTATTCTCTCCATATTAATGAAGAAATTATTCTTCCAGCTCTAAAAGCCTATTGATGTGAATGAAGACTCCATAATTAAACTTTCTTCTCTTGTCCTAGATAGATGTCTTGAGATCTATTTCTATAGATTCACTATCTAGCTTTCTACTGGTAGTCTATTTATCTTAACTAATGCACCAGGAGAGGTTTTCATGCCTCTATATAAGCCATCGGCAGGGGATAGTCATGGCTATTTTCAGGCTACTAAGCCCTAGGGGTTACAGTACCTGAAGGTCTGTTAGCTCTCCACCAGAACAGCTCTCCCTCTTGAGCATCAGTGTCCAAGTTTCCCTGGAACTTATAGGTTAAATGTCTGCTTGGTCCTCAGCCAATACTTTTTTCAGACATTTTATTTCGTACATTTGAGTAGGTCAATCTGATAATGTGGCAATAGGGGGCAATCAGTTTTTAATTTCCAATGTCCTTATGAGGTGTGTGTGCGCTTTCTCTTTACATTCATAATTTGGAAATCTTGTGTAATTCTTTCCTTCCCTTGGTTATTGATTGGGTATTATCCATTGTTGTGCTTCCATAGAAATGGCCAGGAAAAAGGAAAATGTATTCCTACTTACTGTAATTTTCTTTTCCTGGTCATAAGCCAAGGCAGCACAGCGATCCCATCCTAGGATATTGCTGGAAACAAGACTGAGGGTGGGAGGGGAAGGAGGGGTTACTTATACCTTCTTTTTTAATTAGGTGCTGTCTAATTAGGAATAGGAAGGAGCTACCCATTGTTGTGCTACCATTGCCTATGACCAGGAAAAGAAAACTATGGTAAGTAGGAATACATTTTCATATATATATATTTTATTTATTAACAACAACTCTTTGCACTCTATTTTTAAGCCAATGTTCTACCCAAGAACAAGCATTTTCATCTAGACCCATTTCCTTGCGTTTGAACACTAATCTATTGTGTGGAACTGTATCAAATGCCTTGGCAAAATCCAAATAGATCACATTCACTGCAACACCCTGATCTATACTTCTACTTTCTTCTTCGTAGAACGCAATCAAGTTAGTTTGACATGACCTGTGCTTCATAAAACCATGCTGAGTTTTGCTGATAACCATGTTCTTCTCAAGGATTTCTTGAATATTATCCCTTAATAACCTTTCAAATATTTTAAGTTAATCTCACAGGTCTATAATTTCCAGGCAAGGATTTTGAACCCTTTTTGAGTATAGGAACCACATCTGCCTTCCTCCAATCCTCCGGAACACTTCCTGAAAGAAAAGCATCTTGAAATATTAAAAACAGAGGTTCACTTATTTCTACACTTCGTTCCTTAAGTACTCGTGGATGGATACCATCCGGCCCTGGAGCTTTGTTTATATTAACTCTCTTTAGTTGCTGCAGCACCTTGTCTTGAGTTAACCAATTACAATTATTCTGCAAGTTTTTAGTAGCAATCATTTGCACATCTATTGCCATAATATATATGGAGGAGAAATAGTTATTTAAAATTCCTGCCTTTTCCTGGTCTTCATTAACTAACATCCCTGTTTCAGTTTTTAGTGTACCTACACTTTCCTTTTTTGGAATTTTTGTACTTAAAAAATGCTTTGGGGTTGGTTTTGCTCTCTTTAGCTATCATTTTTTTCAGTTTGAAGTTTAGCAAATCTAATCGCCTTTTTGCACGCATTATTGGTTCAGTGACTTTATGTCCATAATAAAGGAACTTCAGTACCTTCGCTATGTTTTTGAATGCTGTTCCTTGTTTGTGAAGGGTGATGATCTTGTCTCTTAACTTTGTGGACCATTCTTTTGACTTTGCCATATTTCATGCAGTCAAATGTGACATTCAACCAAACCCAAGCCAGTTCAGGTATTTTTAATTGTTCCAGTTTAAGCATACCTGGTGCGACTAATGAAGTGCTTGATTAGTTGCACCAGGTGTGCTTGAGACAACACCTGTTTTGAATATTTGTGATGTTGTGAGGGATTCCATACAGGGGGTTGTATAATTTTGAGAGTGGAGAAGTCATTATAAGTTCCATTTTTAGTTGAATTTGCGGAAACCACTTGAATCATTCACTGTGTTGAGCTATTTCAATTGCTTTTGTTTGATTTGTTCATTGCAAACAGCTGAAAGTCTCTACATTTTGACAATAAACCTGATTTTCAATGGGGGTTGAAAAATTCTGATTACAATTGTATTCCGTGGAATTGCTCTTATTATATAGTTTGATTGAAAATCTCTAATGGCCAACTTCATACGATTGATCCTATGATGCTACGTGAGAGTTCATGAACCTTGGAAAAGAAAATAATGAGAAATTCATTTTGCATCCATACCATTTTCAATGCCCAGGAGTCTGATGTAGTCTTGATCCATGTCAGAAAGAATCTTTTTCCAAATTCCTTGATATGGACCTGTGAACTATCAGAAGTTGTTAGAGGTGGTTTTTCCTCATCTACTGTAAGATTAAGGAAGCTGGGAAGATTTCCAGAAGTCGTTTCTTGAGTGTTTTCTACTTAGGCGATACTGTTTTGGCTCACCATAAATTATGTTCCTTGAAAGGAATAGTGCAACTTTAGACGACCCATTGTCTGCTCCCCATGAATGTAGCCAAAGAGATATTCTAGAGGCCACTGTAATTGCAATGCTTGGTGCTTCAGTAAGGAAATTTGTACCCAGCTCCTTTAAAGGGACACTATAGTCACCTGAACAACTTTAACTTAATGAAGCAGTTTTGGTGTATAGAACATGCCCCTGCAGCCTCACTGCTCAATCCTCTGCCATTTAGGAGTTAAATCTCTTTGTTTATGAACCCTAGTCACACCTCCCTGCATGTGACTTGCACAGCCTTCCATAAACACTTCCTGTAAAGAGAGCCCTATTTAGGCTTTCTTTATTGCAAGTTCTGTTTAATTAAGATTTTCTTATCCCCTGCTATGTTAATAGCTTGCTAGACCCTGCAAGAGCCTCCTGTATGTGATTAAAGTTCAATTTAGAGATTGAGATACAATGTAAATTACATCAGTTTTTTTTTTCATGCAGGCTCTGTCAATCATAGCCAGGGGAGGTGTGGCCAAACGGATTCTCTTCCGACCCTGAATAAATATCCATTGTCAAGCCTTTTAGGTCAAGACCCGCATGGCTCTAGCGTAGAATTTTCCCCATTTGTTTCTTAAGAATATATGTGCTGTCAATGGTCATGACTGCCCTTCTTTCCAATCTAACTATACCTGCATCAGTTCTTGAGTCTGTAATCCAGAATTAGCTATATTTCTGATTCAGATGATATATATGTGTTGCAATTGGTTCATTGTCTCAGGTTTTATGCTTTCATTAAGAATATTCTCTTCACTTGCAGAATGTAATGGGAAAGATGTTTTCTGAGATCCTCAAAAAAAATTGTCTGAGCCCTCCATAGAGGGTTGATATTCAGAGTTTTCTGGACCATTGATATTATCCTTTCAATCTCCTTATTTACCATGGATCTAATAAAGGGTTCAGAATCTAATTCCAGTTTGAATTCCTCAGATCCCAATTCCCCCTCAGAGCTGGAGGTAAAATCTGTCTCCCTCTTTCTTTTGAGATTTGCTTGGTCTGATAAGACTTGAACCCCTTTGGCAATTGCTTGAGTAATCCAGTTTTTCACCTCTTCAAGTGCTGGTCACTTTCTCTATATTTTTCAGCAACCATGCAAAGGCATTGTAAACTTTTTTTTTCCCCATAAGGAGCAATAGAGTTGCATCACACACATTTGTTGGTTTTCTCTTTTTTTTTGGCTGAGGATTCTCTTAGTTTTTATAATTTTTTTTGTTTTGTTTTTTAGTGATGAAATAGAAGCTATATAGTTGTTACTATGTTGGCTAAGCACTCCAGACAGTATCTTGTTCCCCCAAATTAAAAAATTTGTTTGGTGGTTTTAACTATCTCTCTATCTCTTCTAGAAACCAGCTTATGAGGGTCAGGAGAAGACATCTATATTTTAGAAATAAGTACATGGATACAGATACGAATTAATGAAGTATCCCATAGATGGCTGGGCAGAACTAAGAAGAGGCATGGCTTCAGAGAAAGACTTCAGGTTCCTGAAAGACAGATATAATCTTTATGTTCCTCACGATATTTAAAGGAGCACTATAGGATTAGGAACACAAACCTGTATTCCTGACCCTACAGTGTGAAAACCACTATCTAGACCCCCTGGCCCTCCCTAAATATAATAAAACCTTACTTGTATTCAAGTCAGTAGCTGCTGGCTCTGGCCCTGTCTGCCTCTGACCTGCCCCTGTCTGCTGACATCATCAGAAGTGGTGGCCTGAGCCAATCACAATACTTCCCCATAGGATTAGTGTAGCTTGTCAAGGAGGCAGATCAGGGGCAGAGCCAGAACAAGTCAAACACAGCCCTGGCCAATCAGCATCTCCTCATAGAGATGAATTGAAGGTTCACTCATGTGCGAGCTGCTCTGTCTGACACTGAAATAAAACTTGGAGTGCACTTAAAACTCAAGCCTGAATGAGGCCAAGAGCTTTTGGCGATCAGGCAAACCCAAATTCAAATACAAAAAAACTAGTCCTGCGCTCAAACTCCAATTACTCCTGGGCGGCAGCAATGACTATAGTACACATCAACCAAAATACATATAGTAAAAACCAAAGAAAAAAAAAAGTTACCTGCGCTCTTTCCACATCCCTATATATTTTTAAACCCAAAATTCAAGCCTGAACAAAGCTGGGAACGCATGCCAATCGGTAAAACTGAATTCTAGCCTAAAGAAGCTTGGAACACATGACGATCGAGTGAAACCAAATTATGGAAAAGGGGCAAAAGTAAGTCTGCCTGCTGGTAAATAAACAGAATTTAGGCATAGCTGTACCACATCAAGGCTCCAAAGGATGAAATACTGTCTTCAAAGTGTATCCATACTTAGAATAAGGCATTGAGACCGAGGCGTAACTAGAAATCACTCGTTTGTATGTTGGGATATGCATCCTTGAGAAGGGAAAAACATTATTCATGTAACATTACACAGTTTGTATGTAGGATAAATAAGGAGGCACCAAAAAAGAAGGAACGTTAAACATTGTTATGAAAAACAGCATTCATAAAATATCAGTAATTTATTTTGGCAAATAGGCAGCGATGCATTTCATCTTTTTACCCTAATAATTGCAGAAGTCAGTCTCATATTGAAGTTCACTTTGAACTGGTCTAAGGTTTATCTATTCCAATAAAAGTATATATTCCTTTTACAAAAAGATAATAATGTAATAAAGATTTTAAAAAAATGATTAGTGTTCGTAGAAAATGTACAATTGCTTACTTTTCATAAATTAACACTCAAAGAGTACATATCAATTCTGAATAATATCAAAATAGCAAATACCTATAGAAGTTAATTATTATTAAACAACTAAGGATGTTTTGTTTTCTTTCTTATGATTCTTAAAATCTCTATTTCCAAGAAACAAAATATTTTGTCTGTACATTTAATTTTAATTTTTTATTTTATTCCATATTATAAAAATATGAACCATTATCTTATTTTTTTTATTTGTTTCAACCTTGAATAGCTATTACTTTTCCATATTAATGTATTCAGTTCAGGCTTATTGAGTGACTCCATTTCCAGTCTAAACCACCATTCTTTCCTCGTTGCTTTTTTGGTTAATAAATTAACATGGTATACCCTGCTGGCTTTGTAATGTATTTTTACCTCTGATAAACCCCATTTCCCAGACATCCCAGACCTATCCAAAGTTTTTTCCCCTTCCATATAAAATTTCTAAAACTTCTTTGGATAAGGTCCAACCAACCCTCAGGTATACTTAGTGGTACCATTTTTTAAAAAAATATGTCCATATAGGCAGAATATAAGCATTTACTATATTAATTCTGCTTAGCCAGTTTGTCATCACATTACCCCATTTTTTTCAGAGTGATATTAATGGATTTTAAAATCCTCACTGTGTTAATTTCGACAATCCTTTCCACTTTTTGGGGGAACACAACTCCTAAATAATTGAAGACTTTCTTTATTTCAGTGAAGTATTTAGAATGTTCTGTTTAGTTTTTAGGTCTATATTTACAAAGAGGTCCATCGTCTTTTCAATGTTTATTTTATAATTTGAAATCTTGCTAAAATAGTCTATTCTCTTCATTAAATATTTAACAGAAGTTAAAGGGTCTGTTAGGGTAATTAGAGTGTCATCCATGTATAAACATACTGTAATTTCAAATCATCTAGACTAGTTGGAACACCTTTTATATATGGATTGGTTCTTATTTTTGTGGCGAATGTTAATATGTACAAAATTGGCGATAGAGGGCATCCCTGATGGGTACCATTATTCAAATCAAACCATTCCAAACATAGATCCACTCCTACCACTCTAGCGGTTGGGCATTTATATATTGTTTTTATAGCCTTCAACATCCATCCATAAAAACCGAATGTTTCCAAAACTTTAAACATATATCCCCATCCAACCCTGTCAAAAAAGCATTCTCTGCGTCCAACGACAGGGTTATGAGGGGAATCCCATTTGCCACCCCCAAGTCCATTATATAAATTAAACGTCTGGTATTAAAACATGCTTGTCTATTTGACACAAAGCCAATTCGATCCCTATTAACTAGGTACGAAAAGAAGATTTGTATCCTATCTGCCAAAATTGCTGAAAATAATTTAGAATCTATGTTAAGAGAGATTGGACGATAGTTTTTAATTTCCTATTGGTTTTTATCTTTCTTTACAGCAGTATAATATTTGCCTGAAAAAGTTCCTTTGGGCCTGAGCCCTTAGAGACAACTTCATTGAATGAGTTGGTAAAATGTTCATTTAAAACCTCCTTAAAAGCCTTATAGAACCCGTTGGTCAGACTAGTATTCTTAAAATTAGCGAGTCTATCTATGGATTTATCCATTTCTAAATTTGGTATAGAGGAATTTAGTATACTATTTTGATCTTGGTTGAGCCTGGGAATATCTAAATCCTTCAAATAACGAATAATTTGTTGTTCCCCTGCTTTATTTGGTATGTTGTATAGCTTGTGATAGAAATTTTAAAATACTTTAGCTATACTTTTTGGGGTCATATATGACCTTTGTGCTATTTCAATAGAATTTATTCTGTTATTGACTGTCCGTTTTTTTTTGTTAACTATGGTTTTCATAATAGTAATTCACTTTCATCTCTTCCACATTTTTGTTCATACGTTTCAATTCATATTGATTTTTTTTTTTTTTTTTTTTAATATCTGAGATCTGACTTAACATTTCATTGGTTATTTGGCTTTTGATTTTGTTGGATAGTTTATAATATTTAATATACAGTTCTTCTCTAGTGGCCCCTCTTTCCTTATTTATTTTGTTTTTAACTTTAATCAAATAACCTCTTATAACTGCTTTGAAGGCACACCATATTGTTGCATGGGATATTCCTTCCATCACATTTTCTTTAAAATACAGTTCTATAAAATTTTTAATATACCCTTCATTCTCCTTTTTTAGAAAGTATGTTGTCATCTAGGCACCATGTGCCAAATGGCTTATATGGTTTTAAATCATTCAGATTGAATAAAATATAACTATGATCTGCCCAGGGGTTATCGTTTATCAGAATTTTATTGGTTTGTTCCACCAAACTATTTTCCCCTAGTATTCAATCAATTCTAGAAAAAGATTGGTGTACCCGAGAGAAATGTGTGTAGTCTTTTTCAGATGTATTATTTACTCGCCATATATCTAGTAAATTATTTTCTTTCATAATATTATTTAAGGAATTAGTTTGATTTTTAATTTGTTTATTAACCTTTCTGTTATCTTTGGTCTTTTTATCTATAGTTACATCTGGGACACAGTTGAAATCTCCGGCCATAATCAAAGTTCCCATTTTCACTTTTTCTAATTTCTCTATTATGCTCTTCAGACATTTAGTTGGTAAAATATTTGGGAGATAGAGATTAAACAATGTGTATATTTGAGAATTCACTCTGCAAACCAGAATTTGGTATCTTCCTTCAGTGTAATATATCCTTTCTTCTGGCTTTATCTTCCCAATAATTTATTCTTTGTCTAAGTACTTTAATTTCTGTTTCCATTTTCCTCTGTGAATCTACCACCATTTTAAATTGGTATTCCCTTTGTTCATATCTCTCTTCAATCTGTGTTATCTTTGTACACACATCCTCAATTTGTTGTTTAAGTTGAAGTAGAATATTTTGGATCTCTATTTGGAATGTTTCAGTTTTTTGTTCCAAACTAATTTTGATAAATTCTTGTAAATTAAATGAGGATTTTCTTTTTTCCTCTATTATTGATTCTTGATTCTTCCAGCACCGGGCTTTCCACCCTAGATTTATTGTGTTGCTCTGTTTGCTTTTGGCAAGAAAAATTACGAGACTCCTTTTTCTTTTTTTGGCCCTTTTTTCCCCCTTGTGTTTTGAGAGTAGCCATATCTGGTCCATTTAATTAATAGTTGACCTTTAACCCCTTAAGGAGAAAACTTCTGGAATAAAAGGGAATCATGACATGTCACACGTCATGTGTGCTTAAAGGGTTAAATGGCCACTTTTGTTAAGTTTTATACCTTCAATTTATGGGAAGTTACTTCTACTTCTAGATTATACCCAGAAGTCTTTTCACTTTGTAAGTTAAGAAAGTTCAGGTATATAAGAAAAAAAAAACTACCAAAAAAAAAAAACCTTGCACTTTTGAACATATGTTAGTTACTTTCCTTTTTCTAACTTTTTCCTTTTCCTTTTTCCTTTCCCCCTTCCTTGTCTTTCCACCCTCTTTTCTCTTGCTTTTTTTTCACATTTTATGTTGAGTAAGATTTACTTTGTTGCCTTGTCTTTAGTCGATTACATATATTTATTTACAACCTTATAGATTAGGTTATTTTATGGTTTGCTCATTATCAACTTCTTTTCTATTAATAGCAAAAGGAAGGATTGTTTCACTTATCTTACAGGGCTCTCTCATCCTCTTTCAGTAGTTGAAGTCACCCTTATGGACTCTTTCTTTCAATGCTTCCTTTCACAAAGCCTTACAATGCCTTTCTCCACACTGTTCTCTCTTTCTTGTCCAGATTCCCAGACTGCCAGGGGTGTATGTCGCATGTCACTTTCCCCTCAGCTTAGTTGTATTGTCTGTCCCTTGGCATCCAGCTTCCAGCCCGTTCTCCCTAGAACACCATATCCACCCTGCTACATACAGCAATCCACCACACTCAGCCCCTCTGACCCTGCCTCCTGATGCGTGCGCCGTCCTCACGTCATCACTTCTTTCTCTCATTCATGTCATAATGTTATGTTCTCTTGAATGTTTGCACTTGCTTTTTAAACTTTTTTTTATTGAAAAAATAACATTTAAGCAACACTCCAGGCATACTGTAGTGGTTATGGTGCCAGGAGTGTTCTGTTGCCCCCAATATAAGAACTTAAACTGTTTATTATTGGTTTTACTTCTTACCTGGGGTCTGACGGGCACTGCTCCTCCTTTACCCCTTCAGAAGAGCTTTCATTGGCTCTCCTGAACTAAGCCCTGCCATGCATGCCAGCTCACTGGCTGAGAGCACCAGCTGATCACTGTCGCTAAATTAGCTAATCCCTGCATTGCTGGGCTTAGTTTAGAACTGAGAGTAAAGCCTGAGAGAATGAAGGGAATGGTGCACTGGATACCCCAGGCAAAATGTCAAACCATTACTAAATTATTTACATTGGAAGGGTGCCAGGGCATAACTTAAAAATAACCTCTACAGTGCAGGACTGTAAATATAAAATGGGTATGTGTGTATGTTTGTGTCTTACAAACATACATATATATACTGATCGGCCACAACATAAAAACCACTGATGAGTGAAGTGAATATTAATTATATCGTTACAGTGGCATCTTTTAAAGGAAGGGATATATTAGGCAGCTAGTGATCATTCAGCTCTTGTATTTCATGTGTTGGAAGCAGGAAAATTGGGCAAGCAAAAATATCTGAAATTGACAAAGTTCAAATAGTTATGGCTAGGCGACTGGGTCAGAGCATCTGCAAAACAGCAATTCTTATCAGGTGTTCCTGGTGTTCAGTGGTTAATACCAAATGTGGTCTGATCACTCAGAACTGTTATTGTAGATCAAATTGCTGAAGTACTTAATGCTGGCCATTATAGAAAGGTGTCAGAACAGACAGTGCATTATAGATTGCTGCGTATAGTTTTGCGTAAGCCCGCAGACTGGCCAGAGTGCCCAGTGTCCGCCACTGAAAGCAACTTCATTGTGGATGTTGGCATCAGGATTAGGCCATGGAGCAATGGAAGAAGTTGTCCTGTCTGGTGAATCATGTTTTCTTTTAAATCAGATGGATATTGGGCAGACTAGATGGGCCGAATGGTTCTTATCTGCCGTCACATTCTATGTTTCTATGTTTCTATGTTTCTATAGCTGAGTGCATGTGCGTTGGTTACCTGGAGAAGGTATGGCGGCAAAAGGAACACTTGCTTGTTTTTCATCTATTAGTCCTCCTAGATCCCTTATCAATTCTGACTAATACTATTAAAATAATAAATACCTGTAGAAGCTAATTAATATTAAAGAACTAAGGGTTTTTGCATTCTTTTTTTATGGTTCCTAAAAAAACAAATGTGACCAACTGGAACAGTATCTACTTGTATCAACTATATATACCTCCCAAAGGAATAAGTATTCAAACCTGTTTATAAAACAGGAAGAAGACAAGTCAGCAGAGGGAGTGTTTTGCTCTGGGCAATGTTCTGCTGGTAAACCTTGAGTCCTGGCATTCGAGTGGATGTTACTATGATATGTGCCATTTACCTAGAGATTGTTGCAGACCACATACACCCCTTTATGGCAATGGAGTTCCCTGATGGCAGTGCAAGCCAAGTGTTGCCTTGGTCCTCCAAATTCCTCTTATCTCAATCTGATTGAGCATCTGTGGTATGCGTTGGACAACAATTCTGATCCCTGGAGACGCCACCTCGTAACTTGCAGAACTTAAAGGATCTGTCACTAATGTGTTGTTAAGAAATACCACAGGACAAGTTCAGAGGTCTTGTGTGGTCCATGTTTTGATGCATTAGAACTCATTTGGCAGCATGATGGGGACTTACACGATATTAAGCTTTAATGTTGTAACTAATCAGTGTATCTCCCACAGCAATCAATTTACTATACAACATATCACACAAAAATCCATATGCTATGCCATATATACCCCACAGCAATCCATATCATATCCCACATTTACAGCAAATAATTAACCCAACTCTGTGGCTAATTAGTGTAAAGTGGTGTGCTTAAACCAGTTTAATTAGCATTAAAAATAGAAAGATAAAAATCTGAGTTGACCCTGCTGGGAATCTAACCATTGACCACAAGGATTGAACGGGTACTACAGACAGTATCAATAGCAATCTCACCGCTATTATTAAGGGAAAACTGGGTTTCCATTGATACTTGTTCCATTGCAGGTTTGTGCTGTGCTTTTTACATAAAACTGCATGTTTTAGCACCTTTTTTTTTCTAAACCTTTTCCTTTTAAAGATAGCATTTCTTTCAAAACCTCTCTTTGCCCTTGTTCATTCATAAGTCACCTCTGAAAATTGGCCTGATAAAACAATACCTGTCACATTATGCAAGTATACAAGGGCAAACATTGCATGCTCTTTTACTTTAGACATTGCTATCATTTTGTTGCTCTTGAAAAAATTATATATTACAAAAAAAATTAAATACTTTCAGAGAATCAACATATTCAGTCATTAAAAAAAGAAAGAAAAGCTTATGGCGGTCAATATCACCACTACGTTTATTAAACATTCCCCTATTGTGTGAGTGTAGGCTTGTCTACTAAACATTGAGAAGCTGGCAGCTAATTAAGGGGGACATAGTGTCACACCCAGCCCCAACCCATAGGTGTCAGGTGGAGGATATAATTAAAATAAATGAGGGACATAGCGTCCTCCCCAGCTTCCACCCAAAGGTGGCGTATGGAGGCAAATATTCATAATAAACAGGGGGCACCAAGTGTTCTCCCATAGGTAATGAGTGGGGACATACTAAAGTAGATGGGGGCTTAATTAATAAAGGGACCTAATGTCTTTGTCCACTAACTAAAACAATGGCCAGGTTCCTCCTTTTCCACACGCCCCCGGGTAGAACATAGCTACCACCTTCCAATTAAAAAAATTCTCCCTATCCCCCTACCCCAATAATAGTCTCCCTATCCCCCTTCCCCCAAATTCTCCCTATCCCCCTACCCCAATAGATAGCAATAAATATTCCCACACAGGTCTTAAGATAAGTGAGCACTCTGATCTGACAAGCCAAAATATCATAGCACTCTAATGCCTTGTTTCCACTGAGTGGAATAGTTCGGGTCAGTACGGTTTGGTATGCTATTTTGAGTGTTTCCATTTTAAAAGTGGCCCATGCAACCGAACTAAGCCACACCATTCCTGGGCCCCCTTCAGTTGTAGGTCGATAGGAAATGGTACGGTTAGGGCGCAGCTACTGGCGTCACACAATACATTCCATTGATTGTCGGACAGAAAAACGTCACTGCCCACGTCAAATGCAAGCGCAAAACAAACACCATGTCGCAGTTAAGTCCAGATAATAGGAGAAGGATGCCTGCAAACAACAGCAAGGTCTGGTCGGCTCAGTAACGATCCACTTTCCTAACTATAATTGGTGATAGCATTATTCAGAGTGAGCTTGATGGATCAGTGAGAAATGAAAAGGTGTATAAAGAAACTAAAAGGCCAGTATAAAAAAATTATGGGCGCCAGTAGCCATATTGGAAACAGTCAAAGTACTTGGATGTGGTACGGAGTAATGGACGCCATTTACGGTCACAGGCTGGCAAACCAAGGCAGGGAGGGAGATCTGGACTCGGCGTCTGCACTTCTCGAATCCATTATGGAGCTTGTTGGTAAGTATTTTTTTCACTTGGCGTTGACTTTAGCTCTGCTATCCATTTTTAAAAATCACTACACAAAACCATTCACGCTTTGCACAAAAAACACATTTTATTTGTACAGTGGAATGAAACACAACACATTTATTTGTACAGTGAAAGGAAACACAACACATTTATTTGTAAAGTGGAATGAAAGGAAAGGGTAGGGTAGTTAGCTAGCATCTAATTGTTTACTAGCTCAGCATTCCATTGTTTACTACCTGATGCTAACTGCCATTTTAGATAGTTAACCATTAACATTGTGTATTATCATTGTTTGTGTATCAAACTCGTGATCTGTGCATTTTCAGATACAGTTGAGGGACTCTCCAATGATGCCTCAACCTTTTCCGATGATGCTCCATCCACGTCGTCCAGTAGCGACAGTACAATGGTGTCAACGCCGACCCAACCACAGATTAAGCCCAATGCACCCCGGCATCAACACACTGGTAAGACATGATGATCAGAGTGAAAGTTGTAATTGTGCATTTTCCTAACTTTTATTTCACATGAAAATTCTCTGTACAGTTTATTTTTGCATGATAAAATCTATAATCCTAATTGTACATTGTCTGTATATACTGCTATTGAATTTTCTTCATTGTGTTTTGAGCTTCTCTTGTATATATTGAGTTTATTTTAATTTGTGTTTACACGGTTTTATGTTTTATATCTGTTCTTTATTTACATTATGTTAATTATATATCTTTTGTATATTCCAGGTGATAAGAGACGGTATGCAGCTGGATGTGCGCACAGTCATGGAGGAGATGCGGGCAGCAGATGAAAGTCAGCAGGAAAGAATGGAGAACCTTTCTGAGTGACTGTTTCAGGCACTGCGTTAGGATGCCCAGGAAGCGAGGCGCCAGGAGGCAGAAATCGTCCGGCAGCAGATGGAGCAGTTGGCTACCTTCAACCAGGCCTTCCTCGGTGTCCTTGGGCAACTTGTTCAAGTGCTGGGAGGCAGTCGTGATCCCATGCCACCATCCAGGCATTAGTGCCTTTCATCTAGCACAGGACCTGTACACTTTTTTTTAAAACTTTTTTTTAAAACTTTTTTTTAATTGTTTGTTTGTTTTTTGTAAAAAAAAAAAATATTTTAATTTATTTATTTTTCTAATTTTTTAGTTGTTATTTTATTTTGAAAGGTTATTTTTGGGGGAATAGAAATCTGGAGAGACTGTGGGTGTGTCTGATTAAATGTAAAATGTTAAAAAAAAATCATGGTATAACATTAAATGTTGAGGTGCCGCATCGGTGCCTGACATACTTCACTGCACTCTTCTTCTCTATCCCATGCTATTACCTGTACTGGCTCTTCTGCAGACGTATTCCTGGTGGAAGTCTTTTCCATGACTTTCACAAAGATTGTGAAGAGTACAGCAAGTAAGCACCATTGATTTGACATGTTCAATGTCACTGTCATAACTCTTCATAAGACACCGCCACCTACCCTTAAGTCTCCCAAATGCATTTTCAACTACGACCCGTGCCCTGGATGTTTTCTTGTTGTAGGTTTGTTGTTCTGGTGTCAGGGGGCAATTGTCAGGAAATGGTTTCAGGAGCCAGATCTGTAAAGGGTAGGCATAGTACCCCAGCACATAATAGCCAACATTAACCTTTCCCCCCCCCCCCCAATTTTCTTAGTGCAAACAAGGTACAGGCCTCCCTGCCCAAGTGAGTCCCAAAATGTGGACAATCGTAGAACTCGAGCGTCATGCAAACTCCCAGGCTTTCCTACATTCACACTCCAGAAAACTCCTTTTCCATCCACTACTCCCTGGAGGGTGATGGAATGCCAGCCTTTTCTGTTAAAGTAGTCGGTGTGCTGCTATTATTGGTATGTGTAACCCATCAATAGCACCAACACACTGTGGAAGGCCCCACCTGTTCTCAAAGTAGTCAGCCATGTCTTTAAGCTTTTCCTGGTCCAGAAAATGAATAATTTCATGAACTAACAATGTGCAGATAGCCTTACAGAAATCCTGCACACACTGGCACACTGATGATTTACTGACACCAAAAAGATGACCGATACTTCTGTATTCAGTGTTGGTAGACAACTTCCACAGTGCAATGGCAACTCTTTTTTCCTCACAGGCAAACTGGTTCTGAAGTTGGTGCTTTGCTTCCCCATCACTGGACGTAGCCTTGCACAAAAGGTATAAAAATGTTTCCTCTGACATTCGAAAATTGTGCACCCACTGTGTGTGTGAATCCCGGGACAGTCACATCCCACCACTCATTGGCGTGGCGGAGAGCCCAAATGACTGGTCGGCGGCACTGCTTTAGCAAAAGGAGAAGCATCTAAAAAAGAACAAAACACAGATGGTACAGATAAGTTACTACACCATATCACTATGAAGTCAAATATAATACAACATAATATTCTTTACACAGACAGATAGCATCATGTATAAAAGCGAGCAACGCAAAAAAGGAGTATCTATGTTAGGTGTAATGTGCAATTTAACATACATGTGCAACATGTATGTTGTTAAATACATCATGTATATCCTTCCCATCTTATATTAGATTATTTTCATATTCTGTATTTTTTTTTTTATATTTAAGTTAGTTAACATATGAGTAGAACTACATGACAAATATGATATAACATAATATGCCTTGAATATGCAATTTTAGACACCAGTTTTAAAAAGGATATGGCAGAACTAAGAAAAGTGAATAAGTGAACTACAGAACTAGTAAGCGGAATGGAAAACATCAGTTATAATGAAATGCAAGAAAAACTGGATATGTTTTCTTTAGAAGAAATGTGCCTCAGAGGGGATATGATAGGACTATACAAATATATAAAGGGTCAGTACAAACCGCACTGCGCTGACCTGTTTCTTAGCAGGAATATACAACATACAAGAGGTCACCCATTGAGGTAGGGGATAGGTTTTTTTGGGTGGGGGGGGGGGGACTAGGGGCTTGGGACCCCTAATCACCTTGATTGGGGGGTGTTTCATTTAGGGCCCCCACCCACCGCTCAGGGGTGGGGGCCAGGGGGGGGCCATTGAGACTGTTAGAATGTCAGAGCATTTACAGCAGAGGAAAGGGTTCTTTACAATAAGAACAATTAAGATGTGTAATTTTCTGCCTAAAGACTTTGTGTTTTCAGATTCTCTAAATAATAAAAAATAGGCTTAGAAGCCTTTTGCATAAACAGAATATACCAGGTTGTTTATCCAAGTAAAAATCTGATTTCCATTATGGAGTCAAAATTTATTTTGCCTTCTTTTGAATCAAAAACATAAAAGAATGCGTTTCACAGTTAAACTTGATGGACTTCACTTTTTTTTTTCAACCGAGACAACTATGTAAAACCTGCATTGAGTAAACTCCTTTTAGCCCATTCATATACCCACATCAACCCATCCACAAACAGACACACACGCATGTATACACACAAACCCACACACATTTGTATGTACATGTATATCCATACACACACACTTAATTTTCATTGTATTTTTTTTTTGGGGGGGGGTGGGGGATGTCTAAGTAAGGTCCACCCAGCCTTATTTTCTTATCTTGAAGGGAAACACTGGAGTGGAATCTATTTTGTGGAGTCCAATGGTTTGCTGCTGGAAACAGTCTCTGTACTGATTGCCCAGCTCCCTTCTGCTTCAGATGCCAAGGTGAGTTGGAGTCACTTGCTGGGTCCTATCTCCCCTCCCCATTAATATGCATCTGCCATCAGCCATCCTAAATTTATATGTACCGTGTTGCTGTTTCTTACTTAACTTGTATGTGGGAGACATTGGGTTATTTCTTGCAAAACACTTGAGCTACTCTATTTTAGCTATTGTGAATCTTTTTTAGGGACACATGCAGTACTCTCATATCACCCATCAAGTGACTTTCTTCCTTACACATTTGTCATTTTTCAACTTGTTCTAACACTTAGCAGTGCCTTCAATAACTTAAAAATAATTGTAGATATTAACATTATGTATTAAAATTTATATTAAGATAAACTTGCTATGACTGAACTGATTATAAGAAAATCTTCTTTAAATTCAGTTCTATTGTAAATGTACTTTACATTGTGAATGCTGCAAAAGGCTTTAGTGGTGAATGAGTTAAGAAAATATTGTGCTATAACAATGGATTTTCAGCCTCTTATTACTGTGCTTTTCCCTCTGTCTGCGTTCTGCTTTGTATAGCATTTCTTTATGCCTCTAACTCAGGTGCCATCTGGGCACTGTCACATCTAGCTTCGGTCTGCAGATTTTTGGCTTGGGAACTTCATGCCCTGCTGAGTAGGTGAAGCTTTGAAATATAAAGTACTTCTCCAACATCCTGAGGATTCCCTAAATCCTTGTGATCCAAACCAGATTGGTAGGAAGGATGTCTGCCCTCAGCCAAGTGAGAGAAGACCATGCATGGATGAGTCATTCTTGGTCAATCATCAATCATTATACAGTAGTACAGCAAAAACACATGGTAAGATTTGTCACAAATCTGCACCAATGAAATTTGTCAGTAAAACATACATATACATAATACAAAATATTTAAACAGTTCATTTGAGAACAAAAACAAATCTATTTTACTGTGGGATAGTTAGGCAAGTGATGTTCAGACAAATCAATGCTACAAAACAGGCAAAAACACGTCTGAAAGGCACCCAAAGGACAATCTTTTCTAGATTGTGGCAGAAAGCATAAGGGATCAACAAGTCCCTGCACTATTTTTTAACCAGTTTAGTGTTGAATGTCCCCTACTTTGCCTTCACTACTGGTTTAATGCATTGTTCAGGACCCACTAGCTGTTGCTTGGTGCGCAGGTTTATTGTGATGTAACCACAGTTCCTGAATATACACCGCCATAGTAGATTGCAGGATATATCTTGGTTGTCCCCGGCTTGTCAACCTTAATCTCAGCATTAAAGATTGTGCACATAATTTTACTTGGCTCTTCCTCTGCTCCTTCCTAGATACCAGGGACACAAATGCAGAGTGGACACCTTTTCCACCTCCTCCTCCTCCTCACAGCTGCTTCAGATGCTCAAACTGGAGGAAACAAGGAGAGTTTTTTTTTTAATATTGCTTGTAAGTTGATGTGAGAATGTATGTACACATTTTTTGAAAGTATGTTTGCGTTAACTGAATGTGTAGATTTGTATACACTAATCAGCCACAGCATTAAAACCACTTGCCTAATATCATGTAGGTCTCGTGCTGCCAGAACCACTCTGATGTGTCAAGGCATGGACTCCATGCTCACTGTTAAAAAAAAAACAAAAAAAACTAATAACCCCCCCCCCATGCCCGTGGGGGCCCTAAATAAAGATGGGGGGACCTACTGGCCCCCCCTGGCCCCCACCCCTGAGCGGTGGGTGGGGGCCCTAAATAAAGATATGGGGGGAACTTCTGTCCCCCCCCTGCGCGGTGGGTGGGGGCCATAATAAAACAATAAGGGGGGGACCTACTGTCCTCCCCCCGGCCCCCACCCCTGAGCGGTGGGTGGGGGCCCTAAATAAAGATATGGGGGGAACTTCTGTCCCCCCCCGACCCCCACCCCTGCGCGGTGGGTGGGGGCCCTAATAAAACAATAAGGGGGGGGACCTACTGTCCTCCCCCCTGGCCCCCACCCCTGCGCGGTGGGTGGGGGCCCTAATAAAACAATAAGGGGGGAACTACTGTCCTCCCCCCTGGCCCCCACCCCTGCGCGGTGGGTGGGGGCCCTAATAAAACAATAAGGGGGGAAACCTACTGTCCTCTGCCCCCTGGCCCCCACCCCTGCGCGGTGGGTGGGGGCCCTAATGAAACA